TGTTTGTGTGTACATGTATAAACTGTGTGAAGTAAAATAAACATGTCAAGTAATTTCTGGCGACAAGACAACTTGTGAGAATCCGAATTCAAGTCGGGTATATTCACAGTGCCATCTAGAGTGACGTGGTCTACGCTGCTGTATTCAGTTTTAGGACCTGACGTCTTTATTAGCGAGCCGACACTCTCCTAAATTTGTTATACCAGTTGCCTTAATATTTACAGTTCGTTCAAGCTTGCAGTTTGTATCATGGGTGACATAAAAATAAATGGGCCAGGCAACAACGTTTCTATTTGTGACAACAGGCATTTTCAAATGAATAATTACTACAGAATTGACACACATTGAAACATGGTCTTCCAAATTACAAAACGATGTAGTCTACGGTCATGGCAGTAACTTTTTAAAATAAATGTTAAAATATTATACGTATTAGATACTCTGAGTAAGCAGGTGAAAATCTCCTATTATTGCGAACTGGAACATTGTTGCCTGGCCCATTTATTTTGACTTCTATTACAATACAAACTGCAAGCTCAAGTGAAAGGGGCTGTAGCTAGTTCATGTAGCTGAAATGAGCTCATGTGGACTAGATTACGTGTACCGCTAATTACGGCTCATTACGGGTGTTGTACTCGGGCAAAAAAAACAAACAAGTTACTGACTTGTAAACATCTAAACCGTTTACATATTTCATGCAAAAATTACGGTTTGTCGTGCCTTATTTTTGTTGTGCATTTTTTATTAGATACTATTATCATCGTTCAATTCCTTTCTAGTTCATGGTATCCAAACTGACCAGAGGGTAAATTTGCGGAGACAAATGGCAATTTCACATTTCCACTTGCGTTCGCAAATGAATTGAACCGCTTGGGAAATCCCATTTCTGCATCAAACCTGAGACTGCTTAAAATTATCAATTTCGTAAAAAAAGACGCGTCAGAGATGAATGTCATATATTGGACTACTTAGTAGGGCCACTCATTACTATTACGTGTGATCTCAGGAATATAATACCGTCCCTTCCTGATGAAACAAACATCTCGTTATCTGGGAAATGTGTACAAATTATTTATTTATAACAAAAATTAAATGTTTTTCTATTTGTAATAATTCAGATTGCAGTGCAGTTTGTCGGTGAAACGTATGGCAGTCTGCAGACTCCACGCCACATTCAGGGTCCTTTTGTAATTCAAACTATGAATACAATGGCTGTGCGAAACGCTGTGAATTACATCCTGTCACAACGTTTTTTTCCTCAGATAATTCACCAAATGAAACGTTTGACTTTTATTATACTGTGTCAAATCTTTCCGCTTCATGTTTGGTATAATCTTTTGTTGAGCTCCATGGTTACAATGTAACAGCAATGTTTCGCGAATCCACATCTACCATTGGTTGACAGTCAGCATAACTTTGACGTTTCACACGACGTTTCAAAACTGTTTTCTATTTTCCACTGCAGCAATGCTCAAAAATATAAATCAGTCTTTTGTTTTATGTGTTACTGTGAACTCTCAGTCAACTGTTTTTGTGGCATTGCAAACTCTCAATCGTTGGTTTTTTGCTATTGCGAACTCAGTGATGCTCACAATGGCTGTTTTACCGTACATTTACATACCTCAACAATTTTGAACATTTTCACGTACTCGTCAAAATGAGATGTATTTTTTTTTCCAAACAGATATTGAGGTTAATTTATGAAATCATTTTTAATCAAAAATTTTAAAATAACCCTAAAACTGCGGCATATGTTAATCTAAAATGAAATTCGCTAGTTAAAAAGTTATCTTTTTTCAGTTAATTAATTAGAGAGCAAAAACTCTGACATACTAAAGATATTATTTGTGGTATTGGTACTAATTTCTGATCACCGAGATCCTCCAGAAGTGAAATTGAGCACTTTTTGTTTTCTTTGAACCAATATGGCCACCACACCATGTGACCAATCAAAATGCTAGGTCAGGTGAACAGTTCAAATTGGTCCAATCCGCAGATTTCAGCAGTTTTTTCAAACAAGCTCAGTAAAAGTGGAAAAATATAGCTACATAGAAGCAATTATCAGATCCCATGGTTTTAAGCTGTAGTTGATCAGTAGAAAATGCAAAAAAGTGACAGTTGTACATTTATTATTATTTAGGTAAATGGTGACATTCCTATTGACAGAGCTTATTCTCAAAATGGCTATCTTACAATATCTTACCTACACAAAGAGGATCATGGGAAATATGAATGTCTGGCGGAGAATGTTGTAGCTACTGTTGCTACAAGTACAAATCTTATTATAGAAAGTAAGTACAAAGAGGAGATTGGAGATTTAAACTGGCCAGTGATTTTGTGTTCAATGTGTTTTCAAGAGTTGGGTGTTGCTATTAGTAAATGGTTTTTACTCTTGTAGGTACAACACCACATGCACCTACGAATATCACAGTCTTGTCAA